GATGATGAATGGCCACAGCAACTGCAGTGCGCCACTGATTGAGTTATTGGCAGCAGGCGGGTGGAGGAGATCGAGGAGGAGGTGGCTCCCAGGATGCAAATACGATAGCAACACCTACTACATGGCCACCGACTTGTTCCCAGTGCCAGGCCAACCATATAGGGGTACTCCACTCCCCTCCCCGCTTCTCACCGCAGTTCCAGTTCCTCCTGCATCTCTCAGCTGCATCGACAACAGCCTTTCGGTCAAGTTTATTGTGTTAGCATTAAACAAGACCAAGAGCGGGAGACGGAGACGGAGACGGAAGGAGCGGGATCTGCATCACTTATCCGGGCAACGAGCCGTGCATGCTGAGGCAATCCTCACTACACTGAAAAAAGTAACACAACAACCTTCAAAATTTGCAAAAAATGGTCACTAGTTTTGGGTCCATAAATTTTCGAATTTTATTCAGATTTTGTAGAGGTATGCCTTTAAAAGTTTGTATTTTAATTCTCTACCAAACTGCTAACTATAACTAATGTATTTTTTATTTGTTGGCCAATTTTTTTTTAATTTTAATGATTATTCCTTTCCAAATTTGCAAAAAATGGGTTTGCTAAAAATTTTTCCAAATTTCCCAATTACAAGACCATAAATTTTCTAATTTTAATTAGATTTTTAAGTAGCTTACCTGTATAAGTTTGTATTTTAGTTATCTAACCAACTGCATCATTAATTCATTTTTTATTTTTTTGCCTTTTATCAACATAAATACTTATGGTGTTTAAGAGAATCTAATCGTATTTCTCAGAGTGCATCTCAGGGTTCAGCATCAGCAACGGAGGCCTATTGTTTGGCCAGTCTTGGCCATGTTCGTTAAGTGGGTGCAGCAGGCGAAGGACTCGCAGGACTCGTAGCACAGTAATTACAAGCAGACGCAGGCCCATCTCCCCATTTCCCCTTCGCTTACAGGATCTGTCTGTGGCAAGGACATGGTTAGTCCTGTCCGTCGGAGGAGTAAATAAAACTGTGCAGACAATTAAGTTTGTTTTGCTGGGGCATATTCTTTTCACTCATCCCATTCTTGCACGTTGCGTTTATGACCAAGTCGAGCAGGTAATGGCTCTCGGTTTTTCGTCCTGGTTTTGGCCAAGAAATTGCACTAATTGTTGTTGCCGGAGATGCAGAAATTGGCTTTCTGTCAGGCGGAGAATGGTATAGTACCGAATTGAAGTTTTATTTGTGGGTGGTTCGTTGGAGTTCTTATCAGAATTTAGATCCAAAATTAGATTTAGATTTGTTTATTTATTTACCACAGCATTTGCATTATTATAATAAATATACCTTAATTATTACTAAGCCTGTAAGACTTTAATTTATTTTTTTTATAAGTATGACATGCAATTTATTCAAAAAAATCAAATAAAAAGTTTTAATTCAAAAAACTTTGTTGCAAAAATTGCTATTTTTCTTATTTTATTACTTTGTTCATTTAATATCTGATTAATAAATTGCTTGTCACCCAACCGATAGCTTTATTCCATTTTTGTCAACTAAATTGTCAATTCGGCGAATGAACTTGATGACCTGCTCAACACGAGTTTGTTTTTCCTGCCGAATTTTTTACTCAGGATTCCCCATTAATTTCCGGCAATTTTCGCTGTCACTTTCTTATTTGCATTCAATTGGCAACGTTCGATGGCAAAACGTGAGCGTTGGCGTGCTGTCTCATTCTATTTTCCATTTTATTGTTTTGGCTTTCTTGTATTTCTTTATTCGATTTAATGAAATGATAACGTAGGAAAAGTGGCAGCAATGTAGTTACCAACGAAGCAACCAAATTATTACGTTCACTGAGATTTGACGGATTTACACTGAAAGACATTTCAAATTGAATAAAACATATTTAAAATGCCTATTTCACCTCTATAGATTTATCATATAAATTTGAGCTACTAAAGAGTTATATTTTTTAAAACCAAAAATAAATTTTGTGTTTTATTTTTTACTAACTTTTGCCAATTAAATATTACTTGAATTTTGTTAGTAACTTTTCTATTAAATAATACATACATACATTTGTAACAGCCTTTCTAAAATCCTACTTTTTTATTATTGCTCTTCAAAGACAATTTGAATTTTAATCCACAGTGCTGTTGATTTCCTCTAGCTTGGCAGCCAATTTCGCACTCTAAACTGATAACCTGCCCCTTGCCCCTTGAACTTTCTGTGCCACACATTTCTTATCATTCGGTTAGTTGATTGTTTCCGTTCTTCTCGCTTTTCACTTCTCAATGTCATCTTCATTGCCGTCTTTGTATTCTTGCTTATTTCGCCTCACATTTTTCTTGACGCTTTCGCTTTCGTTTTGTGTTAATTACCAATTTAAATGCAAACTTTGGACTGATGAAGATGGATGAGACGCCGGCTAACAAAAGGATCAGCAGTAAACGTGTCCTGCCTTATTTTCCCATTGTCCCATTGTTGGCCCAATCAACTTGTCAAGAGCTCTTTTCAAGGTCCCTGCATAAATTGTTTGAAAAGTCTTGGTCAGTTAAACTTGAAAATGTTTGTTATTGAATTAATTATGTACCTTTCGTTTATTTAAAACTGAAGAAAAGGACAAAGTAAACCAAATTTCCTAACTGGAAATTCTTTTATTTTATTTCCTGGATAGCACAATAAATGTTGCTCTTAACAGAATGTTTTTCACTTTAAGAGGATTTTGATACAGCTTGATAAACATATTTAACATATTAAATATTCAAACCTCAAAAAAGTTAATATTTTTAAACCAAGCCTATCTTTACTCAATTATTTTTATAGTAAAGAAGACAGCAGTTGCACCACTAGTAAAAATAGTTACAAATTGCCAATAAAATTTGTTTTCAATTTTCAAGCAATTACTACTGACCATCAGTCAATCAATCACGACTTTGGCCCGAAGTCAGCACTTAAAGTGCACTACATAAACAACGGCTGACACACATAAATAACCCCATTACAAACCTAATTACAATCAATAACAATTTTATTGCTCGACCAACGACAAAAGCAAAAATGTCAGAACTGAAATTGTAACAGCGATATCGATCTTACTTGTTGACATGGGCCAATTACAAACCAACAAAATGCACTGCACTGCAGGCTGCAGTCAAGAAAATTTATAGGAAACTAGATAATTGAATGGAGAAGGGGGAAAAAGGGGGAGGGGGCACCCACGCAAAGCAAACACCACCAGCAAACTGGTTGACAAACTAACTGCAGAGACTGTAGACGCCCACTGCCAACTAAGTTGTACTATTTAAAAAGGAAAAAAAAAGTAAATGGATATGGAGACGCCTTTACAGGAGCACTTCCTTTTCTTGACCCAACCAAAGAGTTACCTGATCCCCAAGTGTCTTGTCATCTGACTGGGTGTTGCCCACACTTTGCTCTGTAATTAATTATTTGATAAAAGTACAAGCATTAAGTCAATTAAAACTAAATTTATGCCAAACGTTATCTGATGCTGACAAAAGGCGTGATTTATACTACGTGCTTGCACTAGTGTATTTGTTTATACTTTTTTTCTTGACTTTTCAGGTTAGTTAAAGCTTAAAGACTTTAAAACGAGTTTAGAGGAAAAATATTTGAATAAAAGAAAAGCTTAAAAAACAGATAAAAACTCGTTTATTTGTATCTTGTGGTAAATGTAAATTAATTTTTAATATATCTTTAACAACAATGATCAACTCGAAAAGCAAAGTAGCTACTTGAGACTTACATTATTAGAGTTGTTGATGAAATGTAAGCTGCAGAGAACCCTTAGTATATTTTCTATTTTTTCTTTCAACCAACGGGCAAGCATTTAATTTGCATGCTTATATAAATCATTTATGCATTTCCCACAAAACGAAAATAAAAATACACAGGGCAATCAATCAAGAAAGCAAGGCAAAAGCCAGGATCCGCCAATTTAAACGCTCATTAAAGGAGAACGAAGGCAGAAATTTCGAGGGAGGGTAGGAAAATGTCCAAAATGGGAACTGCGACAAGCGCACAATTTGCTAATGTTGACGCCATTATTCTATAATTTTCGTTAAGTGGGCGGGGCAGTCGGCGGTCGGCAGCGGTCGGTCATTTGTATAGCAAACCGCAAATGTCGACGGTGAGGTTTTTTTTCGTAACCGCTTTCCATGATTTTTTCACCCACCATTTGCTTTCTTTTTGACAGTTTCCGCGTCATTTTTCTATGACATTTTACACACAAAAAAATATATTGAATTAGGTGCAATAAATACAAAAAAAAACGAAGTCCAGAGTTAAAAACTAGAAAACTTACAAGCAATTAGATAAAAAACAGATGAATTATATATATCTGATATTTCATTTTGGTAAAAAGAATTAAAATTTAACCCTCCTTTAAAAAATTATAATGACTTTCCTCCCCACATGGTTTATTAATTCCAACTAAATTATAGTTTTTTCCCTGTGTAAAGTCCTTTTGGAGGTGCAAGCCCAGACTTCGTCATTATTTTGGCATTAAGGGTTTGGGGAAAAGGGCAACGGAAGGGGCTACCAAGTTTTGGTTGCTCACAAACATTCGTAAATGTCATTAACAGTTGTAACGGCTTCGGGGCACGCCCACAAAAGGACTTTATGCGGTAAGTCCGGCCAACCGAGAAGGCGGTAGAGCGGGTATTTTTTACACAAAATTACTTCTTTTATTCGGTGCCTGACATTCATCATCATCATCAGCCGCAGTTCTCTGGCAAGCGCCATGAAATATGCCCCATCATATTTCGTATTTTCATTCAACTTGAAATAAAACTTGGGGGTGTGCTGACCTTAAAGTTCCTAAGTTCTAAGTTAAAATCGATTTTAGCGGTAATCAAGATTTAAGCGACTTAGTTAAAAATTAAACTTACTTTTCATTTACTAGCTTCTTAAGATTCCTACTGAATTATCATTAATTTTAATATTAATGCATTTAAAAATTAAAAAGTTTCCAATCCAAATAACAACTCCAACCGATGTGCGTTTCTTTATAGCATAGAAACTAAAATTTTTTTATTTCATATTTAAGTATAAAAAGTACTACCTATATGTATACCATATAGATTAATAAGTATTGAATAATTAAGGTGTCTAGATCTTAAGCGCAAAGGTTCGTACAGCTAGATATTTTGGGGTTTTTTTATCTAAGCTTATGTGGGTGAAAATTCGTGGTCTTAAATGTTTGTCTGTTTGAGAGTAAAATCAAATTTTGTACTAAAATCAATGAGGATGGGTTCATGTTGATGGTCTAAAATCATATGAATACGTAGTTATATATACAAAAATTCGAAACATTAAATAAAAAACAAACTGAAATCGAAATAAAAATGGCCACAAAAAATAAAAAGTCAACTAATCCGAGAGGCCACTCCTTAGTAGATCCTGGGCAGGATATAGCTGCGCACCTGGGCGCTGTAGCGATGCCAGGAGGAGTGATAGCGCGACTGATTCCTGGCGTTCGCTCGAGTGGCGCGATGCAGCAGCAGCAGGACGATCAAGCTGAGACCCAAAACAGGAGGCCAGGCAGGACGCAGGGCCATTGGAGCAGCCAAAGCCAGCAGGGCAAGGATGTCACCGAGGTAATTCGGCTGCCTAACCCATCCCCACATCCCGCTCAGCAGCAGACGGCTTCCCTGGTACGTGTGAATCGTCTCAATGTTGGCGAAGATCGGACTCTGCGAGTTCAGCCGGTACTTGTACTTGTAGGCGCAGCTGAAACGCTTCACCAGCAATCCCAGTGTTAGCAGAGCACCAACTCCCAACGGAGCATACCAGCAGGAGATGGGTACGCGCTGTTCGTAGAAATACTTGGTAACCGACGTCAGGAGGTAAGGAGTGGCTGCGTAACGCAGGAGCAGCAGGCAACCATATCCCTCGTGTTGTAACTCAAAGGACGAGCTCAAATGGTGCTCGAAAATGATGGCGTCCAGCACGTAGAACAGCAAACAGCCGGCGGAGAGCAAAGTACCCGCATCATAGTTCACATTGGTCCAGTAGTATTTGACCAGGGGAAGATATCCTTGCTGTTCTGCCAGCTGCGGCTTTTGGGGCCAAACGAGCGTCTGGTAAATGTAGCATGCGGCATACAGCAAAGTGGTGATCAAAGAGAGGCGATACTGATACTGCTTCCAGTCCACACGTCCCAGCCACTTGGGATTCAGTTGTCTGCCCAATGCAAAGTCCACCACGAAGCTGCCAGTCCTGCCATAATCATTGGTCAGCGTTTGGCGAAGAACATTGTACTTGGCGGTGTCCACCAGCCAGTAACTCCAGGCAGCTGCCACAAAGGCTCCAACGAGTCCGAAAATACAGAAACGCAGATAGTGACGCAAAACGAAGGTCACCACTGGGTACTTCAGGTATTCGGCAACTCCACCAGCGATCAGAAGGGTAAGCGAAACCGCCAGACAGTTGAACTTGTAGGTCTCGCGGGTGAGATGAACCCTTCGTCCTGGCAACAGGGCCACCAGCAGAAAGACCACCACTTGGTAGGCGGCAAAGGCACCAACCACGCGAGGCTGGAACACTTGGCGTGTTAGATAGTTCACATCCAGCAGAATACTCAGATTGAGGTGCTTAAACTGGCAGGCATTTCGGGCCGTGCAGCTCCAGGTGAGATAATAGACGACTGTGGGCAGCAGGAGCAACAGCAGGAAGGCACCCAGCCAGCCTCCGAATTCTCGGGGAGCCTTCAACTGACGGCAAGATGTTTCCGCCGGTGTAGCTGATTTTCGGGTAACATTGAAGCTGCGGAATTCATCCTCTTCGACCTCATCCTCCTCCTCGATATCCTCTTCTCCGGTGGAATAACTTCGCTTCGAGGACTTTTCATCGTCGTAAACGGATCGTGAAACACTCCGACTGTATCGGCTACCTTCTTCGGTGTTTGTCACTGGTGTTCCAGCCAAATTAGAGATAGTCTTTGACACCGATCGTCGGAGTCGCTCGGTAATGCGCTTGCGAATGGAGTCCGTGTCCACCTCGCTATCGCCCTCGGCACGGATCTCGATGCGCTCCGTGGTTGTGGTGGAGCTGGTTGTTGTGGTGCGGCTATAATTGTTGCCGCTGTTCACGGAGCTTGTGTTGAAGGATTTATTCGGAGCTCCGCTGGATGTGTTTGTAGTCAAAGTCGTGGGCAGACTGCTACTCGAGTGACGGATTGGAGACTGTATCTGTAAGTGAAGGAGATAATTAGTAAGGAATTCTTCTGCAAAATATAAAAACTTAAGGATAAATAGTTATCATTAAAGGAAACGAATCAGTCAAAACCCTTTGCTCATAAAATATTAATTGAAATAATAACTTTAGATAACTTTTAGATAAGAAGGACCCTGAGTAAGTCATTCACGATTAGATTTCTTGATTGCGATGAGAAGCAACTATAAACAGTAATTAAACCCTTCCATACAAATCTATAATCTTTAACCGAAAATTCCATATGGTAGTTCATAAGGGCTAAGTTGATAAGCAGCTGGTAGGGCGACTTATTTCAGATAAGCAGTTTTGGGATGGGGTTGACCTTATCAGTACATACCAAGAAACTACACAGAAAAAAGTTTTGTATGTAATAAATCCAAAGCAGAATTTGGATACAAGAAAATTCGTAAACATTTTTATATTAAACAATTATAGGCAAAAACGAAGTCCATATATAATGAGCAACATTATCTAAGGCTTTGTTTAAAAGTTAAAAAATGTTTAGTTTAAATATGTATAGGTTAATATATTTGAAGCAATCAAATTTCAAGAATCTTAAACACTTTTCGTTCTGTGCGTGAAAACCAGTTTTTGCTGGGGATACTCACCTCTGGAACCTCTGGGATGGGCGTGCGAGCCTTGATGGCGGCCTTGACGGGCAATGAGGAACCGGATCCTGGTCCCGCTCCCGTGAGTGGACCCACTGATGACCTCGGGCGACTGGAGCGACGGGTGCGGGGCCCGAGTTCTGGTGAGGGTGGTGCAGCTACGGTGACCTTGTTGCGCGAAGGGGGAGGCACGTGTCCGCAAGGCTGGACCGCTGGCTGCATTAGCGGCTGCTGTGAGGGATCCCGCACGCCGGGTAACCGGCAAAAGGCTAGGCTGAGTGGATTGTGGTAAAATTGGACCGCTGGACACTTCGTCCGTGCGACGAGGGCGTCTCAGGCGTCGATCCATGGTGAACTTAGGGAAAAAAAACGTGCTGCAAAACGGAAATTATCGTTCAATATCTATAGCTTCTGCTCAGGCGAGTGCTATATTTTATTTATAGTTTACAAAATACACACAATCTATTAATGTATATTTAAGTAACACTCTGATTTTGTGCGGTTTTCTCTATTTTTCTCTATTTATTTGTGTTTGCGCGCCGAAAGGAAAAGCGACGTCGCTGCCGCAACTGTACATTCCGCAGGCAGCGACGCTGGCAGAGCCCGCTCTCGCACTCTCGCGCTCCTACTTTTGTTGCACTTTTTATAGGTGATAAACTTAGTTTTAACAACTTTAGACGCTTTTCAAGTATATTACTCACTGCTGATTCGACTTAGTTAGTGTTTTCCACTATCTGGGACTAAATTAACACCGTAATATCAGCATAAAACACTGGTTAAAAAAAGACGCGCGTCTGGCTGTCGGCGGTTGTGGAACTTTGTTGTAAAATGAGCGCGGCCCTTTTGCGTTGGTATTTTTTAGTGTTGGCTAACGTCAGGTGCGCTTAACAGCACGCGCAGTTAACTTAACAGTCTGAGTTGAGCGAATACTAATATTATTTAAAATTTAAATTTTATTATATTATTATTAGGTAACTACTTAAATGAAAAATGATATGCGAACCTTACAGTTGGTTTTAGCACAAAAAATACAATTTAAACTTTCAATTCTAAGATAACTTATTTAATATGCAGTAAACTATCCAAAAATGTACCATAAATTCAACATAATACGAATTTGCCAACAATACATATTAAATAAGTTAAATAATTTAAGTAATTTCATTCATAACTAAATTGGGGGAATAAACTGAGGACATGAACTCTGATAATCGTTACAGAGTTCTTAAACTGACTTGTAAAAAGCCAAATTAACATCCTTGCTGACTATAATAAAAATATAATAAAAATAAGATAACAAAAAAATAAAACTTGTCCACTTGACAGCTATTGAAAATTATATTTGTTCATTATTAGTTATTAAATCACTTTTTCATTTCGCGATTGAGATTCCTATAACTTATTATTTTGGCTCTAAAATAGCCAAACTTTTACCGCTGCGTAAAACAGAACAGTGCCTTTAATTTTCGTGATTTTTTAGCACATTCTGGCACGAATCTCCTCACACACATAACAAAAGGCAGGAGAAAAATTGTAAATTAATACGGATATCCCGGACATTTTCCTGTCAATCGAGAGCAAAGTAAGTAAAAAGTATTTGAAAAACATCCATCTCACAACAACACACAAAACTCAGCTAAAAATGTTGCGCTTACAAAATTCTGGTTACTAATTTGTTATGAAAACGTCTCTCTCACGGCCGCCTCCTTGAAAAAATTTGGAACACAACGGAAAACCCAAAAGAAACGCTGCGGAATAGCCAATTAAATAGTATATATATAGGATCAGATCTAAGGAATCCCCAGGACTTCGACATGGTGACCCCCCAATCGCCGACGCCCATGTTCAATGGATTGGACGATGATCTCTATAACGAAGCCAAATTCGCACACGAAATCAACGACAAAATGCGGGTTCCCAAGAGAATTAAGGCCACTGGTGAATTTTCCGATGAGGATCTTCTACTGTCCAACCAGAACGGAATGATCAGCTCCTGGAACTATCACGACAAGATTGATATGAATGTGCCTGACAGGATTGTGGTCTTGGGACACAATCAGCATCTGGAGACCAGGTCTGCGCCTAGGGAAATCCAGCTGGAGAACTCCATTCTGCCCAAAAACCCCTCGATTGGCTTGGTGAGGGTCCAGACCCCTCCTCGCGTCATCACCCTCACCGATCACCATTTTCCCTCGGCCTCCGAGGAGAGTTCGCCCATTCGGGCCAATGGTCATCACCTTTACGGCCATGATCTCGACGAGGACGCTGACGACGAGGAGGGTCATGCGGCCACTCAGTATGTACGGGCCAATGGAGTCGCCCGAATGGGATTCCACGGCAATGATACCCACTCCGTGGAATCCGACTCCCAGGTGAGCAATTACACAGTTTTTTCGATTTAATAACTAGATAGGTGTTGTTCAATCCGGGTTTAATTGAAGTGCACGTGTAAGATTAACTAGCTAAGATAGATCAGAAAGCAACTTCCATTCTCAATTCAAATGTAATGTTTTAATGCAGACCCGTAGAAAACGTGCCGTAGCTAATTGAAAATGTGACTGTTTTATCAGCAGGCACTCGAGATACAAGACTTTAAGAAAGATTTGACTTTGTGTAGCTAACAGAAAGATTGTAAATCCCCATTCTAGCATTCAATACGTTTAATCCCAAAATGGATAAAGATACTTGTTTGTATATTAAGTGATATATTTAGCAAAGAAGTAGGAGTATTAAAAATGTTCCCACAATTTTATCCTCAGGTGTACGAAACCAAAACCTGACGAAATGCAATAACCGCTAGTGGCAATAACAGCGATCACATTCCGCTTCCCTTCTATTTATTCAGCCAAGAGATTAACGAACTGCTGCTTTTATTAATTTCTAGTATTGATTTGATAAGGCGGCTGACCCAATTCCAACCGACCGTGTGCAATTCCCACTCTCACTCTTGCTAATCGCTGGAGTAGGCATGTGGATCCGGTCGAGCCTCCTTTGCAGCCTGGTACTCTTCCTCCGGCGCCTCCTTCAGCCGCTTGGCAAAAGCCCGGCACTTCCAAATGTCGACTTCGGTGGCCAGACACTTGCGAAAATCGAAATCACAAAGTCCCAGGCTGAAAGAATCCTCTGTTGGTTCAAAGTAGTGGAGACCTCTTCCGACCTTTATGACTAATCCCGAGCTGAGTACGATCTTACGATCATGCAGGCTGTCGTCCAACTGGAAATTCATTTGGATATTGCCACTAGCCAGGTCACTCTTGATTTGTTGCAGGATCTGCAATTGATTTTTGGGCGCCACCGAATCTGGTCTCGTGGTCAAACGAATGTACTTTAGATAGCGACAGTTTTTGACCAGCACCTCCAAAAAGTTGATCAGATTCCTGAAGTGATGCGGCTCCGTGAGATGCGGCTCGTTGAGATGGGCCTCCCGGACACCATCGTCCAAGTACGCGCCAAACAGCCGCTGGTAGCTCCTGCCCCTTGCACCCCGTTCGATGGTGATGTGCTCCAGCATTCGACTGGTGTGCAAGTGACTCTTGACCTGATCCCTCAGCTGCTTGGCCCGCGCCTCGTACATCTTCAAGTACTTCCCACACAGCTGCCGGCGATTCGGATCCGCCTCGGCCATTTGGGACAACTTGAAGATGCTCTCCTCGTAGAGCAGAATCGCCTCCATGATGTGACCCGTCTGCTCGCACTTCAATGCGCTAATGATCGGCTCCAATTTGGGCAGTTCACTGTCGTCCATCTCGGCAAAGTTTGCACTTGTTGTCATTGTTTGGTCCCAAAAACAAATGGTTGACTATACGGAAATTTTGAGTCAGGGGGAGTAATTTTATTGTAGTGGAAACTGATTTGACAGAATCCTTATTTTTATAGAGAAAAAGTACAAAGAAACTTTTACGTAAAATAGGAAACATTTTTGGAAGCTCAAAAAAATATTATAGATTAAGATAAAATAGCGTTTAGAAAGTTATGTTGCATTATATAAATGTCATTTCTTAACCTGTCACAATCCTAATAGAGAACTTTTGTTCCTAGGGATAGCAAATATTTTTCAAAATTTTACATTCTTATACATTATGTTACCAAAGATGGTATACCCTTCATAACTTATCCACATGATCACTAATCCTCTTACGCTTCATTTCTTCCAGTTAACCACGGGCAGTGCCAGCAAGCGATCGCAGTTGAACCAGCAGCACAACAATCTGGATGCCTCGATGTTGGCGCATCGCGAGGGCACACCCATGGGTGAACTGACGCCCCACGAGGAGATTCTGTATCTGAGACGCCAGCTGGCCAAGTTGAATCGCCGGGTGCTGAACATCGAGATAAACAATGAGCAGCGCACGCAGCGCGAGAAGATCGTCTACTGTCTTGGCCTGGCCTACTTCGTCCTCAAGACAATATTCTGGCTGAATCGCAATTAAGATGGACGGGCAGGCGAGCTGTCGGATGGTTGAGAAGATCTTCGGTGGGTGCTAGGACAACCACTTCGCTATGGACACCCTTTTGGAACAGCTTCTTTCGTTTCTTGACTTCTATGTTTCTTTTGTGGAAAGGCTCTGAGAGAGACTTTGTTTTTTGTTTGCCATAACTAACTTCGTAGTCTAAGCTCGATAATAAATAAGCGCAACACCGTTCTGTTTTGTACACCGTGGAAAACCAAAAAACAAAGGCCCCCATACTTAATTTTTAAGATCTGGCACCACTTAAGGAGCATGTATCTAAATTTAAGCTTTAATCTCGTACGTGTTTCACCTGAGCAACTCTCAACACGAAGCCGAATCATTGAAAAGATATTGTTTTACGGGTTGTTTCTGTTGTAGATCTGTTAACATAACATTTGATAATCCCAAAGTGAAGACAAGAACTCTTAATGGTATTTGTATGCGAAATCCCATACGATAAATAGTTAAATATATATATAATAGTACACTAAATCCCACAGAAATCATTGCATTGATTTTTGCATAACAACCAGAAACGAAAGAAACCATTTTTAGAGTGTAGCGTGAATCAACTATTGAATTCATAATGATATTTAAAATAAAACGTTTAAAGTACCAAATCAAAGCATGTTTTGTTATTGATGTCTCCCAGGAAATACAATCTTCGATTTCAACGCATTTAAAAAATGTATTTATTTTATTTTGTTGGTTTTCTCATTAAATTATACGTATAGTTATCAATTAAAACTACCGATTAAATGCAATTACATCTGCTTGTCTCATCTACCTTCCGATTTCCTCTTCTGCTATACATCTTTAGCTAACAAGACGTTAAACATTAAGTTTAATGCAAAATGACGAAAAGACCTGAGCGAAATTTCGTTTGTTTCATTTGCGGTGTTTTGTTTGTTTTGTTGTTCGTGTATTTTGTGTGTGAAGTGGATTATTTCCCTTTCACCAGCCCGATCGTAAATTTACAGATCATTATCAAATCGATTTCATCCAACTACGGAGAGAACAATTGTTATTTTTTGTATCTTTTATTTTAATGGAATAATGTTATCTTTTACTTTACAAAATTTATGTGCAAGATATATTTTCTCTTCCGTTTCTCAAACGAATCGATTTCTTTTAAACGAAACGCCGTAGAAAGGATAAAGAAAAACACCTTAACGTACATCCTTCTTTTCTTGCTTCCTTCTCTTTTCTTGTTGTCTGTCCTCTTCTTTGTTTTGGGATAATTTAAAAGAAACGACTACTATAAACTTAGATTCATATGTATAAATACAATTTTGCATAATTTCGCGTATTTTGTGTTCTTCTCCCGTGTTTGAATTTAGATGCAACCTCAAAAGATCTCGCTGGTTGATGATGAGATGACCGATTGGGCTTGGCTTTCTATGCTATGAAGGGGGTTTTTTGTGGATGCTGATGCTGGATGTGGTGGTGTTGCCACCAGAGTTTTTGAATTCTTGTGGGATCTGGTTGTGTGTGACTTGGTGATGGATAATTAGAGGGTGGACGACGAGTCTACTCGCTCTCATCATCCTCGTCCTCATCGGACTCATCCTTCTTGCTCTTCTTCGACGCCTTTTTCGCTGGTTTCGCGCGCTTTTTGGCTCCACCGTTGGCAGCACTGCTGCCACCATTGGCCTCGAACTCCTTGACAGCCCGATCGTAGTCGTCCTTGGCCTTGGCAGCCTTGGCCTCCCACTCCTTTAGATTCACAATGAAAAAGAAAAGTATGTAAGCAAGGGTTTTTAAGAAAATGTTGTGTTAAGAGTACTCACCGACTTGTCCTTCATGGCCCTCCATAATTCGCCACCGCGCTTGGCCACCTCGGTGACTTTGATGCCGGGATTCTCGCGCTTGATCGACTCGCGGGCACTGTTGAGCCACAGCATGTAAGCGGAGAGTGGGCGTTTTGGTTTGTCAGACATATTAAGTTTGTGTTTTTTGTTGAACTATTTAACAAGTGTTACAACTAAGTTTCTTTTTTGCTTTGAGCTGAAAGTAAATGAAAAGGAAATTATTAGTTTAAGCTTTTTTATGTAAAGTAATCTGAAGGATATTGTAAACATTTATTTTACAATATACTGAGAACTCACAACAAAGTCTGTTAACTATTTTTTTTTTTAAATCGTTTTATACAATTACTATGATGAAATAATACCAGCATTTTCCTACTTTTTTATCTATAACTTCTCTGTATCTCTGTAGTACTGTACTCCTCAACAAAAATTAAACATTTAATTTAAAATGTTATAGGCAGCACATTTTCTTTTTAGCAGCGCGCCATGTTCCTGTACCAAACGCAAGCCGAAGCAAAAACACAGAGTGAGACAGCACTCCACCACCCGGGCTAAGCAATGGCGGCACAAGCGGGATGGCATAACGACTACTACGGCTGCTGCTTAGGCACTCTGTAGAAAACTAAAAAATGCGCGCGCGCGCGCTCTTTCTCTCGCGCCTCTTGCTTCTTCTATTTGCTTGAACGCGCGCCACTTAATAATTAATACGAAATTAATTGGGGCTCCAAGGTGGTATCGGGAATGAACCTTTGAAACTGCAACATTTTAACAGGCTTGTAGGGCATGTTACTTCGCTAACAGAAACGCTAATTTCGCGGCGAGTGCGAATACACAGCGAAACGGCAACAACACACATTTTCTGTATGCGACGACTGCCTTATATTGGTACAGGCTGCGACCCGCTCTCAAAAGGCAGGAAAGGCATCAAAAATGGCCAGAAACCTATTTCTGGATACAGGTTTTAGGGGAAAAGCACTTTATTTGTTGCCAAAAGGGCCTTATTAAACGTTTTTAAGTCAATAAAATTGGTACTTTAACGTGCTTAATAAGAATCGAACGTGTCTCTCTTTCTTTGAGAGCGCTCTCTCTCTCTTTCTCTTTTTGAAACTCCAGAACTAGACGTTTTTTTAATTTGGCAGCCAGTTTGACACTTTGACTGTCTTGTATTTATCACAGAATTTATGTTTTTATGAAGTCTTAAGTTTTTTTTTTCCTGCCCTGCGTTCACCAACCTTTGTCGTTTGATTCTCGAAAAAAAGTGAACGAGTTGGCGTCGACTGCCAAAAATGAAGGCGCCGCTCTCACGTACTGCACTGCCGCAGTCGACGTCGGCAGAGGTGCGCAAAAATGAAGTCGGCAGATGTTCGAGAGAGCGAAAGAGGGTGAAAAAGAGAGAACGCGAGAAATTGGCTTTGTTTTTGTGTTTTTTAATGAACAACTAGACAAATGTCAATATTTTCAAAGATTTATAATTCTCCTCATTTAATAAAAACCAAAACAAACAAATTAAATATTTGAGTACAGCCACTCATTCCCAGGGAATGAGAGAAAACGACCGTCGCTTCTCTCTCTCTCTCCGAACCGGCGAATTAAAAGAGAAACGCTAAATGTCGGGTAAAAACAAATGCACGAAAACGTACATCTTATAGGAATAGTACAGTAGAAAAGGCGCGCGTTTCGGTGGCGTCTAATAATTAATTTCACAAGTAAATCGCAAGTTTTGGGCAAAGGCAAATGTAAATTGCGACGGCGGCAGCCATTTTGAGGCGAGGCCAAGAAGCAGTGAGCAAAGAAAAGAAGTCAAAGCCAAAATGGCAACGCTTTCTCTGCTGCTCTTCTTTTGCCTTTGAGGTACAGACACGCTGCCGCTTGAAAAAATTCACTAACTGATTTCGCAAGAAAAAAATCTCGGTTTTATGTGGACTTCCACTTCACTCTTCACAAGACTTGGTCACCAAAACTGTCTTTTTAATTAATACTTTTAAGTTATTTGCACAATATTCGGGAACCAGAGGAGAAAACCAACCTTGTTCGTTTGTCGCTCAAATAAAACTGTACGGAACATCGCGTCGGACGACAAAACGAAGGCGAGTAGTTGAGCAAAACGCCGACTGGCAGCGACGTCAGCAGCGACGCAGCTGCTTTTGTATTGGTGGTGGAGAGAGAGGCGATTTTCTCTCCTTGCGGCGGCAGCGAAAGCGGAGGCCGATAAATGGCATGTAAAAACAAATAAAACGCTAAGCAGGAAAAATGCGTTTGGTGGGATAATAGACCAACTAGATGCTTAAACAAATTAAACACTATGTTCTTTTGGATTCATATGCGACTGCAACTATTTTGCAGTATCAAATTTTTTCGTCTACGAACGTATACTGGAAAAACCCTCACAGTACTCTCACTACTCGGACAGTACATACACCTCAAAAAGAACGAGGGCCGCTTTTTAAAAATGGCGCCAAATTTGTATGCATTAAATATCGTACGAAATTGTAGGGCCACAAAAAAAACTAATCTCTTACCTGAGTTATTCGCAATAATAAATTAGTATCTTATGGGATCTCTATTAATAATATTAGTTATTTTACTTACACTTATTCTATGGTGCCTGCTTGTTCAAAGAAACTGTGATCAATTTCCTTTTCTGTTTGGTTTTACAAATAGTACGAGAAACTCACTTGCTTGACAAAATCACCTTTACTATGACTGTTCCATATATGTATGTAAATATTCCGACAGATTGAAAAGCAAAGGCAATGCCTAGCATTTACACTTGTTTCTATTATTTTTTATATTATTATTATTAAAGATTCCTAAAATAATAAACTTTCTTCACTACACTTTTTAAATGGTTCTCCAAAGTGATACTCTCCTAAAATAAAAAAGTTTCGGTTACTAGCAATTCCTAATAGGGAAAATTCCGTGTAACCGCTACATTTCGGTCAGATTTATTCGGCAGATGCTTCCATGCATTTTCCCACAATCAAATCGTAAATACCCGAAAACGGGAACAAAGACAAAGCGGCAAAATGGGTCCTAGAATCGTTGCTGCAGTTTTTCTTCAGGGCGGCACAAAGGATAGCGATGTCACGCGCTGTTGCAAGTTCACAATAACCTAGGATAAAAAAGGACAAAGCGAGGAGAGGGGCGAGAGAAAAAAGAAGGCAAACAGGCAGATGATGATGGAACCTACTGTAGTAGTCTTTATTTTAATTCTGTAGTATTCTTTATTTTAATTCTTAACTTTTTAGCTTTTACACATGTGTTCTCTTCTTCGTCAATCTCAAAAGTCGGTATATCAAGGATGGTATCCTATCGATAACTTATTCAATCACAATCATATGGTAACTCTTAATAAGTACTACCCACCCGTTACATCTGGTAACTCTTAATACTACCAGCCTGCTACAACTCGGCCATCCTGATTTTGAGATAGCCCTCTATCTCCTGTTAACATTATCTCGTACATCAATAGATGAATTTGTTTTTCTTAACCAATGTCTAATATTTTGCGCACTCCACACGCCTTGGTAAGGATTTCGAGCTAACTGAAAGCCATCAATGTCTTTGATCAAATACCTATCGTTTTTTAATATCTTATCAATAACATAAGGACCTTTACTTTTTGGTAACAGTTTTCTTGCTACTCCTGCCGAGCTATCAAAATTTTTTACCATAATATAGTCTCCTGTCTTGAATTTATTTGGATCTTTTCTTTTACTATTATAATATTCCTCATTTTTTGACTGTGCTAATACCTGATTTTGTTCTGCTTCCTTTCTAATCTTTTCCAAATCTCTTTCACAATTTACATCTACACAATTTTCCTCTTCTAGCTTTTGTTTTAGGTCATCACTTATTTCCCCTTTTTGTTGTAACCCAAACAACATTGTACTTGGATATTGTTTTGTACTTCGGTGTATTGTATTATTCAATGTGTATTCAATTTGTTCGATAACCTTATCCCAATGCTGCCCCTCTTTCGCCTCAGTAAGTTTGCTTAACATAGGACCTAAACTTCTGTTAACCCGTTCCACCTGTCCATTAGCTTGAGGCGATCCCGTGGCCACTTTAATGTGCTTTATATTTGCGTCACTTAAAAACTTTTCGAATTCCCCCGAAGTAAAACCACTACCTCTATCTGACACTATGCAACTCGGTTTGCTATATGATCGAAAATAGTCTCTTAATGCACTAACAACTTCTTTACTATTTGTTGTTTTTGTCGCATATAATCGTAAAAATTTCGTACACCCATCTACCACTGCTAATATGTATTTCTTTGATCTACTCTTATCCACTGGTCCATAATGGTCAATATGAATAATATCAAATGGTTTATTACCTTTGGGTATGCTATGTAATACCCCACATTCTTTGCCTGCATTGGATGAAAACGCAATACACTTTAAACAATTTTCTATATGTCCTAACGATTTGACTTTCATGTTCGGAAACCAATATGTCTTCATCATTGCACTAATCATTTTATCCCTACCAATATGTCCTAATTCATCATGATACTTATACATAACATGATCCTCCATAGCTGCTGGTACATAAAATAATATCCTGCCATCATTCGTTTTCCTATATACTACCCCATTTCTCATTTCAAACAATTTCAGCTCACCTTTTTCTAACAATTTTCTAATATTTTGTATTTTCATATCCTTCGTCTGACAAATTACTAAATTTGTTTCTAAACTATTTGCTTCTGTTATCATAATTGTATTATAACATCTCGACAAAGCATCGACGTGCTGCATTCTGCTTCCAACTCTATGAACTATTTCATAATCAAATTCTTGTAACTCCAACGCCCACCTTGCTATCCTTGGATTTAAATCAATTTTATTTAAAGTCAAAGCTAATGAGTTACAATCAGTAATAATTTTAAAACGCTTTCCCTGTAAATATATTCTGAATCTTCTTAAAGCATAGATTATCGCTAAAGTTTCTAACTCAAAGCTATGGTACTTTGCTTCTGTTTCTGATGTGCGCTTCGAAAAATAAAAAATAGGATGAAATTTTTCATCTGCCTTTTTCTGAAAAAGTACCGCTCCAAACCCCAAGGCACTGGCATCACAATGCAATTCAATGTCATCTCTATGATCATAAATTGACAAAACTGGCGCTTGTAACAATTTTTCTTTTAAACATAAAAAACAATTAAGCTCCTTTTCACCAAAATTAAATTTTCTATCCTTTCTAAGTAAATCATACAGAGGTTTTGCAATAATAGAAAAATCTTTAATAAACCTTCTAAAATAAGAACATAATCCTAGAAAACTCTGCACTGATTGAACTTTATCAGGCATAGGAAAATTCTTAATAGCTTCTAAACCCTTATCATCGGCTCGAATACAACCTTTAGATATATGAAAACCCAAATATTTAACACAATCCTGCATAAACTCACATTTATCTAACCTTAATTCTAGTTTATTTTCTGCCAATCGAATCAAAACTTTCTCTAAAATTGCAAAATGTTCATCTATATCTTTGCTTGCGACCATTATATCATCCATATAAACTATAACCTCATTTTCTCTAATCATGTCCGCAAATACAGTATTAACAAATCTTTGAAATACTTGAGGGGCAGTTTTAAGCCCCATCGGCATTTTTAAAAATTCGTATTGGCCCAATGGCGTCACAAACGAAGTGTATTTAACCGAGTCCTTATCCACAAATACGTGAAAGTACCCATTTTTTAAATCAAGTTTCGTAAATATATTTTTTCCTACAAGTTTATCTAACAAATCGTCTATTAAAGGCAACGGATAATTATCTCTAACCATAATTTTATTAAGCCGTCTAAAATCGACACACATTCTAAGATCCCCCGTTTTTTTCTTTACTAAAACAATTGCTGAGGCATATTCTGAACTACTGGGTTGTATAATACCCTCTTTTAGGTATTCATCTAACATAAGTTGTAGTTTTTCTTTTTCCGCATATGATAGTCTTCTAGGTGAACAACTAAATGGTTTTTCTTTTTCTAAAATAATTTTCATCTCGCCCCTAATATTGGGATTTGCTTGCTTCTTTGCATTTATATAAGTGCTTTCTAACATTTTTATAAATTTTGCTCTTAATGCATAATCCACTTGTGTCCCAATCTTATATTCTCTTTCAGAATCCACTACATTAATTTGCATCATGCTACTTTGAAAATTTTCTTCTAACACTCCTCTAACTAATTCCTTTGACTTTTCATCTAACAATTTACTAGCTAACAATCTATTATCTAACAATCTATTACCTAACAATTTACTCTCTAACAATTTCCTATCTAACAAACAATTTTCTGCTAACGATTTATCAACCAATTTGTTTTCTACCTTTTCACAATCCATATTCATTTCACTATTTTCTAACAATTGATCTGCTGCTTCCACTAACTCCACTTCATTTATTCCTTCCTGCTCCAAGTTTGGCCTTATGTTGTCTTTACCATCTAATAGGCTTTCAGTACGCTCATTACCATTCACATCAAGTTCACTTAAATATAATTTTATACCATAAAGTTCCATAAAATCTCTACCTAAAACAATATTCCATCTCATAGACTCGTTAGGCACCACTTTTAAATCAAAATTAATTTTATTACTGTTCTTGAAAATGTGACAAAATATTTTTCCGAATACATTTAATTGGCTTTCATTTAATCCAAAATATAACACTTCATGTGTGTGTAATTTAATATTTGTTGGAATACATTTTTGTTTAATAAACGAAACAGGGCTGCCCGAGTCTATGAGGCATTCTGAAATTATAGATTCGTTATTACTATTACTAAAATAAATTACTAATGACCTTACAAAATTGTTTACGCCGCTGTCCTCCGTCTTCACCTTCCTCTTCGGGCACTGCGCCATTAAATGCCCTTCGTCACCACATCCGTAGCAAGATCCCGGCTTCCTCTTTGGCTTACTGCAATCTCGTGCCCAATGTCCCTTGGAGTTGCAATTGAAGCAACGAGAATTTTCTTTTATATCTCTGCCCTTCGCTGCTTCCGACTTCATCAGCAAACCACTCTGCCTAGGTAAGGCAACATCTGCAAATGCTCGCCGCATCTTCGCCGGATTATCAAAGCACTGTAGTTTTGCCTGGATGCGTAGATTTTCATGTGGTATTCCCTCGATAATGCCATCTAATAACTCATCGTCGTCCATATCCAAATCTCGAGCCAACATGCACTTGTCCTCAAAGTATACGCTGAAATTTTCGTCCGATATCCACATTCGTCCAGCAAATTTCCGACGTAGCTCAATTTTCGGAAGTTTTCCACCAAACGCCTCCTTCAGTTGATCCAAAACTTGGTTTATAGGCTTCACCACACGTACCGGATCTGCATGCAGCCACTGCAACGCTTTTCCTTTAAGCTTTGCAATACATAATAATTGTCGCTGCATGTCGTTCAACTTGTGCAATTGTGTAATATTGTCAAACTGAGCAATCCAATTTCGCACTGGTGTATTTCCATCGTACTCCATTAAAATCTCTTTGGCCAATGAAAACGCCATGGATGCCCAGTCACCGAAATTTTTTTCAGCTGCCACATTTCGCTGAATTTCACAACTTGCATTTCCTTGAGCATCATCTTCTACGTCTTGGCATGATGTATCGTCGTCTCCCTCTAACTCTTGGTTTCGTCCATGCATGCGTAATTGTTCCAGAACATTCTTAGCGGCCTCGATTTCTTTGTACAAATTTGCCAACGCTTCTGTTCCTTTAAACATTTCAGCTTGTTGCGATTGAATTACGCGTCTTGTCTCCGCCACCAGATGATCATCTTCCAAATTGTCCACTCTTGGTGCATTTCCACGTTCTGCTGCTGGTACAGCATTAAGACGCACCAGCAACTCAGCTTTTGTGCCTTTTGTGGACAAACCCAATTCGCCAAGCCATTTTTTTAATACCGCCATTGCATAATTATCACCAACTATATCCATTTTTTCTGTTCTTGATCCCACTTCTGAATTTGTAGTAGTCTTTATTTTAATTCTGTAGTATTCTTTATTTTAATTCTTAACTTTTTAGCTTTTACACATGTGTTCTCTTCTTCGTCAATCTCAAAAGTCGGTATATCAAGGATGGTATCCTATCGATAACTTATTCAATCACAATCATATGGTAACTCTTAATAAGTACTACCCACCCGTTACATCTGGTAACTCTTAATACTACCAGCCTGCTACACTACATACATATGTACCTGGAGGGTAGAATTGCATTCCGTTGCATCTAGATTGCGTTAGGGATAAGTAAGAAGAAACTGGGCTGGAGTATTGAAAACGCAATATTATTGCAAAAAACCCAAAGAGCATTTGGCGAACCAAAGTGCTTACTGTTAATTAACAGCTGCTGTTAGTGTTTATTATGCTGACGATCCCTCTCCAATTTTTTCGCCTCAAGTTCCGCAAAGTGAACGACAAAGGGGAGAGCGAAATCTGCATCTGTCAAAAAACTTCAATTCAGCTTCATAATAAATGTACACTAAAACATTCAGTGGTGTCTGTAGGATTAAAAGGGTTATATTCCTAAGACTTAGTTTTTTGGTTGATGAAATAATGTTAAATAAAATTTGTAAACCATTTGACTGTTAACTCCTGAAAGTTTGGAAGTTACTCCTAGTTCCCATCTCCAGAGTGATTATGTTCCTGACTCTAATTGTACATTTAAATCTTCGTAGCATCACAGTTTATAGTTAAAAAGAGTGGAGAAACAGAACCAAAAATTCTCGAATTCATACTTTTACTTTTTGTGACGCTTCACTCTAACCCCCATTGGATCCACCTCTGTTTTTAGGAATCTCTCGCGAGCGCCTCTCAGATAACGGACCTGCGCGCCCCTCTTTTTCCCTTCACTCTCTCAAGCAGCGCCAAAAAGCAACAAAGCACGTCGTCAGCAAACTTTTCATTGGTTTTTGCCTTGAAAATGCCCAATAAAATCGTTGTTTACATGATTCTTTTTCTGGCTTTTTAAATTTTTTCTATTTTAAAAGTTTTTGAAATAGTAGGGTACTTTGTAACAATTTTTTCGTTCTCCAAACGCACATTTTTAAGGCGGTTTTTGAATAACGGTGTTAAAATCTGTTGTTTGTGCTTTGTCTCCCACTTAAAAGCAGACTTGCAAACGAATATGTACCACAAAGGCAGCCTCCATTGAGCGAGGTAGCATGAGAGAGGGACCAAGACTGGGGCCAGAAAAGCAGCAGAAAAGCAAAAATCAACATGTATTGCTTCATTCGAAAAGCAGCAGTTGTTTGGAGAGGTTATCGCTTGTGCTTTTTACCCGTTTCTGCTTTTTCGCAACAAGGGCGCGTTATTCACAGAGCGGGTTCTCTGAAAATAGAAAGCCCCATCGAAAGAGATCGCTAGTTGATTAGGTCATGAGCAGCACGGTCGGACTGCCCTACCGCTTTTCTGATGAACGTACGGTAAAGTTCGTGGAGCTTTACGGGCGAGAACCTTGTCTATGGAACAAACGGCCCTACTTAAGACGTGCTCGAAACGCCGCCTATCGGCGAATTCAGGCCGGGATTAATACCGATATCGAGCCCCACGAAACATGTCTGACCATCCAGGGTGTAAAGATGAAGATCAAGAATCTTCGCACTGGATATCACCAGGAGCTGAAGAAGATCCGAACCATTCCGGGTTATCAGCCTAAGACACCTTGGTTCGGACCACTCCACGGATTCCTGGCTGAGTTTTTGGACACGGTAAGATATAGTTACACTTTCTAGTTTTCGTTATTACTTATTTTTTGAAATCACCTACGCTTGGAAAAAGAATCCAACTTCCTTTCCCCCGTCTTTTGAATTATTTTTTGGTTTGCTCTCTTTAAGACCCTAAGCATTATTAGAGTACTTTGCTCAGAGTACCGGTGTTAATAATATACAAAAATATTTTTAATTGTGGATTCTTCTCTGAAATCTTTTTCCAGAATGACGTAGATACCACGACCACTCCGCAACTAAGAAAACTACAGATTCGTCTCACAAGACTTAAACCCATAAAGATACAGACGGAGATCAAACCGGATCCAGATGATATAACTGCCGTTGAGATGCCCCCTGCTTCCTTGTTCACTGTTCTTCCAGCACCCATGCCCATGGATCAGCCACCTACTCCGCCTCCCTCACTGCCCAAGCTCCTTGAAGTAAACTCGACTCCACTTCCGGCTCCTGTTCAGATGCCGCTTCCCATATCGACGGCCTGTTCCCTTTCCGAAAAGAGCGAGATCTTGGGAGTCGGACTGGGACCGGTGGCTGCAAGAGGAGCTGGAGCTGGAGTGGGTGTTGGATTGGGGGTCGGAATGCGTGGCGAAGATGAATTCACTTACTTCGGCTTGAGCGTAGCTGCCCAAATCCGCAATATGCCATTGGCCAATGCAATGGTAATGCAATCTAAGATCCAGTACATGATATCCATGGAGCGCCGAAAGATTGGAGGCCACTCAAATGAAGTAGATATGTTTAACTAATCAGAGGAATACAGAGTTGCATTGCCCAGCAAATAATATTCATATCTGCACCAACCAAAAATCAATCTGTAGATAATATTCTAAGTTAAATGTTTATTTTTTAAACATTTTTTTATCTTATGTTTATATTATGCTTAGGAAATTTAAAAATGTGTTGATTCATGAGCTAAACAACAAATTGTTATTCATATTGTGGTCCTTATCAGAAATTACAGTGGGTCTTACTGAATTTTCCGAAACTAACGCAAGGCACTAATATTTTTGAAATTTTATTGTCTGTCAAAGGAACGCAAATATAAACATATCATTTTGATTCTAAATATTTATATTTCATCTTAAAAACTTTATGAAAAGTTGAACATAAGCAAATAAAAGATATTTAGCTAAGTTCTAGCTGATTGTAATTTGCTGGCGTTCACTGTGTCGCCGGAAGACAAGCAGAGAAGCAGAAACGCAAGGCGGCAAAAACAGTGCGAGTGGGAGAAAGCAAAACCATACCGTACTGTACCAAAGGCGAAATGGAACCTCTGCCACTGCCTCTGTCGGCGTTGACAGCGACGCGTTCTCTCTTTTACTCTCTCAAGATTCGAGTGTTGGTGGCCCATGTAAAATACGTGCGTGTAAACTTCATGTATGTATCACATGATGTAACTAACTATGTACGTTTTGATGAAATGTATGCATAATCAAATATTTCTTTATTTTATCCGGGCTTCTATCTGTTTATTGCCGATTTTGGCTTTTTCAGCAGGCATGACCAATACACACATACACTAAGCCACTGTGTGTGCCCAATAAATTCTCGAGAATCGAGAAAACTGAGACTCTGAAACCGGACGACAAGCAACCACAATACACGCACAAGCGATTGTTGTTTTTGTTGCTTTTGCTTATCAGCTTCGGCAGTTTATTTGCAACACATGAACACCCTACCCAAAATCACAAGTCGAGCTTAACGGTTTCTGCAGTGCATTCAACTGGCGACCTTCAAATGTGCATCCGATAAGATCGTTGGCATCACGCCCACAGCGGGTGGTATCGAACTGGGTACTCACCTGCCATAAACTACAGTGGGACTTCCCTAAAATTAAAGTTAATAATAACTTAAACCTTGTTTTATGATATTAAATTCATATATTTTTTGTTTGAGTAACAATAGGAATAATTTTATTTGCATTTAATCGTTCTACGATTTTCCTTGCATCTGCCATTATCAATTCATTGCCACTTTAGTGAGTTTGGACTGTGGTTCGCCCACACATGGACTCTAGGAAATAGAGTTGCACTTTCGCGCCCGCCTTAAATTGGGTCACAAAGGAGTTAGTCCTGTCCTGTTGCTCGTGTGTTGGCTTTGGTTTTCCCTTCGGTCGGTGGTGCAACAATAGGCGCCGTGGAATGTGGATGTGCCGAAGATACTGAACTTGGCCGTGGAGTGCGATGAATGATGGGGGCATGTTCCCTCATCCAGTTATCGCTGTTGTTGTTAGCGGCCGGTGAGCTTTACCCCAAAAACACACAGGCACAACAACAATGCGTCGCCGAACACCATCCGTATTATTTAGCGAGCTCCCCGATTTTCTACCTCGACCTTCCCTCCCTCCTTTTTGGCGCACAGTATGCATCATCAGCTGTTCGGCAGAAACGAACACCGTGAAAGATGGAAACCGGCAGAAACAGAACAGAAATTGAGAGACAATCTCAACGGAACGCACTTTAGGTGAAGCGCTTTTTTGCCTTAGCTTTTGGCTTTGATTTTGAAGATGGTATGAAGGTTTCCTGTGACATCCACATGTTTATCCTGGAAGACAGGACCAAAAGAAAAAAATGGTTAAGATGTCCTCCCAGTTAAAGGATCAATTAAAAGCGGATTACAGCCAATATGATGTGATTAGCCACGGATCCTTTAGCAGCATACAAGTAATCCCCAAATGATAAAAAAAGCAAACAGAAATCAAAATATTGGCAAAAGTCTTTCGCCATTAAGGGTATTCTTATAAATGTAGCGATTCTTTCTTCAAAAGGACAAGACAAATATTTTTAAGGTTTATACCGTCATTCCAGGTTTTAACTCAAATTGATATTCCGAAATTTTCAGAAGCCTTTCCTAATAAACTTGCAATTAAAATAAATAATATTATCTTATTATTACTTCATTAAAGGGCGGCTTCCGAAAGGGAAATCAAAACTTCATTAAACCCTCGCTTAATCAGCACTAAAAATTCCCCCAGCAAAAAGTGGCGCCAAAAAGTTATTTTTTCCCTTCGGTCGCGTAAGACCCTCTATAAAATGTAACGGTAAAGGCAAAAACCAAGTACATTTAGTCCATATGCCAAGCATATTGGTTCGAGTAGATGAGCAAAAACGGCGACGCAACAACAAGTGCCCCGTATACCGTACTCTGTATTCCGTATTCCGTATCCCTTGGATGGGATATTTGTCTGCATCCTGCTGTGAGTACTTCAGTCTCCTGATTGTCTGCACCAGGATGTATGCGAGTGTGTTCGCAACATTCACTTACTCAAGGCGAACTCATGCAGTTCAGTTTCCATGAAAGGCACAAAATACTCGACCCTCCAATCCGCACACATACCGCACAAATTGCTAGATGCTTTGCTGGCGGAACGAAGCCCGGTTCCAGTTTGCCTCATGTCGCATGTCCAGGCAACAGGATTCAGCCTAAGCTGGCTGGCTGGCTAAGCAGGGTTCCGGGGAAGGAAGGATGAAGACCGAGGCAAGGATCTCATAGAGGAATGCTTAGTACACACAAAAAGGACAGAGGCCTGCTACGCTCTTAAGCCATTACCAAGATGAAAAGTTGCAGCAGAATGTGGTAGAAAGGAAAAATGTGTTTCGTAGGGTATCCGTATCTGCTGCATTTTCTTGAGGATCTACTTACGCTTTCCAGGGCTTATGAGAAAATTTGTTATTTGCTTTTTCAAATTAAAATTTTTGGTGACTATTCAGAAACTGAAAAGCTTTTTTACCTGTGTACTTTATATAAAATGTTTTAGTTTATGTTTTTATCTGAAGTCATTAAAATAGGTTATGCTCTTTAATAGAAGAATATAAGAAATGATACCAAGTTGAACATAACTTAATAAATTTCTTTTGTAACTGATTATCAACAGATATAGTTCATTTTTAAGGACAAGTTATTATTATTATTATACCTTTACATATTTAATTTGTCAGGCCTTATTTAAATGCATGATATAAACGACTATTTTCTGTTGTATTCACCTTACAGAGCATCTATTCTTCGATAGGTTTGCTCTTTAGAGGCAAGTACATACGCATGCAGGCTCGTTATTTCCACATCCTGTCAAATGTGCGCCTCATGCGTCCCCATTTCGATGAAGCGTCGCCAGTTCGCTCGGCTCGTTAGCTGGTTCGTTTTTGCATACTCCGCCCGAGAGCGTATGCCCCATCCTGCGTACCGCAGGATACCCCCCTCCGTCCACATTATCCACTCCTGGCCGACAATTGCCACCACCGAAAGCCAACGCTGCCAGTAGCGTTGGTCGGTCGGTTGGTCGGCTGCAGCCCGCTTGGGTATCTCTCCCCCCTCAATCCCCGCCTCCCGCCTCCCTGTTCCCTCCTCACCACCCCTTTGCCTTAACTCCCCTAATAGAAGCTACAACATCAGAGCCCAGCCGACCCAGCACACCCCACCATCCCCCGGCGATATCATCCGACGGGCCGTTGGCTTCGGTGTTGCTACACAGACACACGGCTGAAATGAGACGACAAACAACCATAATAATCGACCGACCCACTGGCACGGTGGGACCAATAGGCAATGCCAAAAAAAAAGTGCATTTCCTCGATCTTAAAAAATATTGTTAGAATTAACGGATTTTTGTGTAGCAAAGGTGTTGTATGTGGCAGAGCAACCCCTTTTTCCGTAGGCACCCCGAGTTGTTTGGGGTTGAGGTCAACGATCTGTGAAATACGTTACCATATTCTGTCCCATCAAAGGATACAGTTGTACAGGCTTCCTAAAGGATATTTGCATATTAAAGCGGAAATCTTGATTAATAGTACCGCTAATACTGTTTATCAAAAAATGTAGGGGTGTCATAAAAATCTCTGGTAACCGTATTCTCAAAACAATAATACTTTAACACCCTTCCATTTCATTGGCATTTTCATTACTTAAAAGATTATAAATTCTACCAAAGCATACTTACTAAACGATCTTCAATTCTGAATCTCACTCGATATATTTTTAATAGGGGGTTTATTTTATTAAGAAAAGTCAAATTATTTAAATTAGTGCATAAAATCCGAACAGCTTGACACTTTATTGCTTTAACTGTTTTTTAATGAACCTATAAATTTAAATGCAAGCACGGCTTAACTTTAATAGTTCAACTGGCTTCCCCCAAATTTCTTATCTTAGAGATATTAAAATAAATTTCACATGAAAATGGTAATATCATATTTTCCAATTGCGAAATTATCAGGGGGACTTGCATCAGGAATCTAAAATCTGGTTAATCTGTTTAGCTGTTCATCATTAGAGACCGGGTCCAGATTGTCCCACTGCCTTTCGCATACCCTACGCGCAAGCGAAGCGGCCTCTTCGGTTTCGTGTGTTGTTTGTGTTCGCTTCGCAGTCGGGCAGATACAGATTCAGATTCCGATTCAGATACAGTCGCACATACAGTCGCGTATGTGGAACGACCGCCGCCGTCTGTTCGCCTCTCTTGCTCTTGCTCTTCCTCTCCCTCGCACCCGTTGCCCCGTCTCGCTCGCACCGACTCCCCTTCAAACACACTCGTTCGCTTCGTATTTTCGTATTTGGCTGTAGCTGTACTGCGGTCTATAGCTCTACGGCTCTACAGAGCGAGATACAGGCAAGCGAAAAACAGGCGGCACTAGTCGACTCGATGGGTGCGCTTTTGCGTTGCGCAAAGATTTCGTTGGCTGTCTGCTACTTTCCTCGATTAGATAAGGCACTTTGCAACCCACATCTGATGTCACTTCGCTGATGTCCGATTATTGAAATTTTACACTTCCTTGTACTCCCATGATTGATACCTTAATTTAGTTTTTTTAAGTTTGTATATTTTAATTTTTTTAATCATAAAATTTTTTTTTTAATAATTTGCAATTTAATCTGAATCATATTCAGGCTTTTTTCTAATTGTTTAAATAGGTTATATTTTAAATTCACACTTATTCATCTAGATACATATTTAAAATTGCTGCTATTGAACCCAGTCAGACTTGTTTTTGATTTAATGTATAATTAATAAATTATAATTAATTAATTAATTATATAATTAATTATATTATAATTTTTACTCACGTAAATATTTTTTACGTACAATTAGCAATTCTTAGTTGAACAAACAAATTTCATGACACAAATTC